ATCTGTGAAGATGGAAAGAAGACAGTTTTAGGGACTGTAGTTTTATAAGAATGCACAGAAACAAAGGGGGAAAAGCCACTCTTCCAAGTCAAATGAATATACAATGTTTAATACCAGTAAGAATAAAGATAAGGACAGACCATGTTTCAATTGGCTCAAACTTTTAAAAGCAATTATGCAAGTTGAGGAGTCATTCCTATGATAGTTTCCAGTCAACTCACAAGCCAGGTACTGACCTAGTGACTCTTTGGATAGGTTTATAAACAGCACAGGAGGAACAGCAACTCAGTCTAATCAACTCATCATTCCAGAGTTTGGAAATCTCTCATGTCTGAAATCAGCAACAGAATCCCTAAATCTAAGCCAGCTCCTTACTTGCTCTTGCTCCTGTCCTGTTCTTAGTCCCACTCCAATTCTATTCTGGACTCCCGATTCTGGCTCTGACTCTTACATCTGGCTGCCACATCTCCAATCATTAGACACAATCATCCCCATAACAATTTGACACCTGCTTATTTATTTAACTGAAGGTATTACCTTCAGTAAGTTGGAAATGCTAGTGGATTCAACTGACTTTTCAATATTGCAAAAAAAAAAAAAAAATCAAAACGGTGTTCAAATTCCTTCCTTATGACATTTGGTAAACTATGGAAAATATGTATAATGGATAAATAAATTATTGCTCAGCACTTTGATAAAATAAAAACTGTTCTGATTAAATTCTTTACATTAGCTATAAGAATGTTTGCGGATTAGGATTTCCATAATGTTTTATTTGTCTTTACTTAATGTTCTTAATAGAGGGACATATGGAATAGGTTTCAGAGCATAAGCATTTGTTCTAATGAGCTATACATTGCTCTCAAGTGCCAGCAATGCCCCTCTGTCATGTATATTGGCCAAAGCAGAGAGTCTCTGCAACAAAGTCAATAGACAAAAGTCAGACATCAGGAATGGTAACACAAACCTGTATGGGAATACTTTAACCTACCTCAACATTCAATAATGGATTTGAAAGTATCCATTCATCTGGCACCAATGTTGGCATTATTTCAGCACCAGGCCAACGCCACCCTTTTTACTCACTTGGACTCTAATAAAGATATATGGTTGTGACAATTTTGGTATATATGGTTGTGACAATTTTCTTCCACTATTTGATCTGAGGAAGTGGGTCTGGCCCATGAAAGCTCATCACCTAATAAACCATCTTGTTAGTCTTTAAAGTGCTACATAGTCCTGTTTTTTGTTTCATCTACACCAGACTAACACGGCTAAATTTCTATCACTATTCTAATAAAGATATTAACTGGTTAACTCACTACAAAGGCAGTTTCCTCCACCTTTGATATTTGCATTTCCACATTGCATGCTATGAACGGGACACATCCAGCCTGTCTTAACTTCATTAACACTGGCCCTGCAACTGATGGGTTACTGCTTTTGCTGTTATATATACCCTGGATTCTGTAATTTCCACTCCAACTCATCCGATGAAGTGGGTTTCACCCACAAAAACTCACGATCTAACATACTGATTGGCCTCTAAGGTTCCTTAGGACTACTCTTTGGTTTTATAGTTATATAAAAAGTTAAGGATGAGTCCAAATTCAGCATCTGTCCTCTTTTACATGAGAACTCGTGAATTAAGGAAATCAGAAATTACATACATGCACTTAAAAAAGTCATTAGTGCATACATGCATGCAGGATCAATGAAAAGTCACATTACAAGGTGCCAACAGACAAGACTCCTGCCAGTTTTGATCTTACTCACAATTTTTAGGATAAAGAGGATGGGCAGGGATGATATATTACATTGCATGACATCATACTTGATGCTTTTTTTTTATTCATGCGTGTGGCAGGCTACTCTCGCCTGGCCCTTCCGCAGGACCTCTTAAGGTCAAGGCCCTCCAGCCTGAGTCCAAAACACAGTTCAGGGTTGTGGCGGGGACGCACCCTAGGTAGGGGGACCTGGGCCCACCCTACTCCACCAGGTCCAGGCCCAGGGCCCTGTGAGTGACCAGATAGCGTGTCACTCCCTCAGCGAGGCAATCTCGCCAAAACGCGCTGAGGGGCGGCATCTGCTCCTACGCTGGGCCACTTCCTACCTGGTTTGCTGGTGTTCCTTCCCACGTACTCGTCCAGCCTGCTGCACTCTCTGGGCTGCACCAGCTCGCCTCCACGTCCCCACCTGCATCTGAGTCTCTGGTGGCAGCTGTGCAGGAGCTCCCACCACAGCTCCTCCTCCTCCAGCTGCCACCTGACTGAGTCCTTCCCCAGGCTTTTATAGTGGAGCTACAGCCTGGGAATGTTCAGTAGGGCTGTGGGAGAGGGGCCTCTGCAGCCAGGTAACCCTGGCTGGGCCCTGCAGGCTCAGTGCGGGGATGCCTCGCCCCGTCACAATGTGCCATCATTACACAAGGAAGCAATAATGTTATGTAACTATGTCACCATATATTTAAATAATTCTTTTGAACAGACTAAAATGGTATCTTGATTATATGGCATGATCTTTCGACACCAAGTTAGTTTGAAATCAGTAGAAAAATTAGGCCTCTAGTTTTAGGACAAGATTTTAAAAAACCATTCATATTTACAATGAATTGTGTCAAGTATTTTTACTCATCTATCAGGGTGGGTTTTTTTTTTTTTAAGGGAAAATTACGAATTGTTTTCAAATATAAAATTGTTCATTTATAGGAATCAAAACACACAAAAACAGAGCAACATGTTTTTAAAAAGCATAAATACAGATCTTAAAAACCTTTTAATTTATGGTGTTCTTCTTCAGCTACTGTCCATTCACTCTTGGAAGCTCCATGAGCTTGTAATCTTTAGCATGCAGTATAAACTTGGGTAAGGTATTCACCTTCACCCCTACACAATGTGCTCTAGACAAGGGCATGGCTCCCAACCACTCCTCCTTTCTTTCCAACTCCTAAAGGAGTGGTCCCCAACATGGCACCCACTGGGGCATTTATGTGTGCCCACCGAGCGACCAGGGCCGGCCCAAGCCATTCTTGCGCCCCGGGCTCTAGGCATGCGGCGCATGCACGGCCCCGCCCCTGGGCACCCAGCAGCCCCAAAAGGTTGGTGACCACTGTCCTAAAGTAAAAACCTCAGATCAACTAGTGGTACACCTTAGCAACTTCTGTCAGTTTTTAGTCTTTGTTTAGCTAGCTTTACATTTATCATTTGACATCATATCTCACACAAAAAACAAAAAACAAACTTTCTTGTACTTCACAACTGAGTTTTGACAACTGACATCCAGTTGGGATGTCCCACTCTCTCTTAGTAACGCCGACTGCAGATACGTTTTGCATTCTATATTATTTTGGCCTGAATGCAGAAATATCAAAATATTTTTAAACCCCTGTAAATTGTGGCCATACTGTCCATTAAAAAAACAAATACAGTGCACTCCTTTTATAAGAATCATATGCATCCTAGATTATTCAATTCTTATAAGAGGTTGATTCTTACAAGCTGAGCATAGAAATGATTTTGATCACTATGTGGTCATATAATCTGTGATTCTTACAAATGGAGTGCACTGTACAAAGTATCTGAATGAAGGGCACAGTATGGAGAGTTTTTACACATCTTTCCTTCACTGTCATGATGCAGAAAAAACCTGAGAGAGAAGCCCCAAATTCCTGTTTACTGAAGAGGATTTCTAGTGTCCCGTCAACCAATACAATTGTAAAGCATCTAGAGTCATCAATACAAAAGGGTACAGAGATGCTGAAAGTTAATGGTGAACACCCAAAGTAATACACCAAAATCTTATCAGAGGCTTTATTAGGGGATTTTAATAATGCAGAGACACAGAGTGGGTAGTTGCCAGGACCTGGCTCGAACTGGGTCTGAGCCACCTGTGCATCAATTCTCAAAATGCTTCTAATGCAGAACTGCAGCAGGAGTAGTTGGTGGGCCTGGCTTGAGCCAAGACCGAGTGCTTTCAATGCTACCCCTTATCAATTAATCAGGTAGTCAACAAAATTTTTGTCGACTATGTGATTAACAAATTACACACTTCTTAACATCCCTACTTCCAAATCTGAAATGATGTACACTGATTGCTCAAGCTGGTGTAGTTTGGTTTGTATATGCATTGCCTTGTGAATTCTCAATGAGAAGTAAGTACACACCTCAAGCTTATTATGGAAATGACTTTCCTTAGACAGAAAAGGCATCAATTATGCCCCTTGACTAGGGAAATGAGCATGTGCATGCCAGACAGGCTTTAAATCTGGAAGGCATGGGTGAAGGGGAAGAAGGTGGAAGGGAGTCTTAAACTTGTCTCTCGCCCTATGTTTTTTTTTGCATGTCAATTTTAAAAATGGCATAAATAAGTTGATGAAAAGATTAAAGAAAGAGTTCTTAAAAGAACAAGTATGGAAGATGAGTTTGAAACTTAAGAAAAACAACAGGTCACACACTTGACAGGTTGCATCAATTCAGGAAGAAGAAACTGAAGACAGGCTGAGGTCACTGCATTCTTTACACTCCCACACAAGAAGGTACAGAACTCAAACTTACCAAAACAAATCCAATTTTGTACATTAGGCACATGTCCAGTTGAAGTGGGATCCATATTGACACATTCAAAGAAAAAAATTCACCTCTGGTTATATTTGAATTAGTTCAGGATTGATTATATTGCTGAAAAATATCCTTTACATAATTGGTAACATTTATATATCACTTTCAAAATATAAAGTTTATTTCACAAACTGATCAAAGAATCTCTATTTTACAGACTGCAAAGCAAAGAGGTAAACTGATGTATCCAGGACTACACAGCAAATCTCTCAAAAAGAGCTTAGAACCTTCTGGAATTCATTCCTTCATGGTACAGGTTGGACATCTCTTATCCAGCATCCGGACCCGACTGATCCCAATCCAAGGAATTTGCTGGATTAGAGAGGGGAAGGTGGAGGGAGAGAGGCGGA